TACATTCCCTCCAGAGGCACAAGCCGCATTCCAACAGTCTTTCAACTTTGCATACACATCTCTGACTGTTGGAGGCCGAGGTCTTACACAAGGGGCGTCGTCAAGTCAAGTTCTATCCCAGGACGACTACATTCCATCCCAGAGGACACAGTCCCACACCGCGAGGCATCGACCCGCTGCGAACATTGGTGGGGGTAGAAGACCTCGGCCCCGTGACCGCGAAAATGAACAACGCCAAACCAATCCACCCTCCCCCCAGCACCTCCAATCTCAGAACCTCGGCCTTGAAGAATGTAAGATTTATTTACTTAACAAAATATTATTTTTTGGTCTTTTTTTATTTTTATTTTTTTCCTAAAGTCGAGTTTGTGATTTTTTTTACTAAATGCATTACTCAGTTGAAGAGGACGAAGGAGAACAGAATGAGGACGAAGGAGAAGAGAATGAGAACGATTTTGATGATGACACGCCTCTCGCAGAGCTCCGGAGGGGGGCTCGACTGCGCAAACCTAGGCAACCATTCACTCCTTCATCTTCATAGTTAGTTTGTGTTTTATGTATTGAAATTTGTGGACATATTCGTGTGTAAACCGTATTTTGATCTTTTTGTATATAGTGATTCTTCTATAAATTATTGTTTTTGATCTTTTTTTATATGTTGGGTTGATTGATATGTGTATGTTGGGTTGATTGATATGTGTATGTTGGGTTGATTGATGTTGGTTGAACAGGTTGGTTTCTTCAAATGGATTCAAAAATTTTGTTTTTTCTGCAGCTTAAAACGGATTCTGGGAATACGTTTTATATTTTTTTGTTTATAAAACGTATTTTGAGAGTACGTTTATATGAATAAATTTAGGGCAAAATTGAATTGGGGCAAAATTGAATTTGGGGGAAGAATTGTACAAAAAACATATTTCGAAAATACGTTTTATGTTTTAAATTATTTTGTCCAACAAAATTGTATTTTCAAAATTCTAAAAATTCATTTCATTTAAAACACGTATTGTGAAAATACGTTTTATAATTCGAAAATAATTATAAAATTAATTTTAATTACAACACGTATTTCGGAAATACGTATTAATTTTTTATAACTAAAAACGTATTCTCGGTATACGTTTTTAAGCAAGGTAATTATCTTAATTACGTTACATAATCATATTAACTTAAACCGTATTTCAGGAATACGGTTTATATGTTAAAACGTATGTCCGAAATACGTTTTATAATCCAAAACATATTTTCGGAATACGTGTGTTTGATTTATTTCCACCCACTTTTTTTTTTTTTATTTTTGTCCAGTTATTTTTGTTTATTTTTAAATAAATAAATAATTCACCCTATTTGACTATATTTTCAAGTTTTGATTTATAATTCTCAAATATGAATTAACGAGCCTCTATTTCTGATTAAAAAATATTATTGTTGACAGTTTTAAATAATAATTAATTTATTCTTATTTATATTATAATGTATTCATTGTACATAAATTTACAATAAATTATAAATTACCTAATTTACTTTTTTGGTATATATATTAATATTTTAAAGTACTAAATTAGTTGAATTTGTTAATAGATAACTAATTGATATGACCGTATTTGGTAAATTAAAATATTAACTAAAGTCTCTAGAAGTCGATCAATTCCGACCTGATTTGGGATAATTTGAGCAGATTGCTCAACATTGCCAATTATAATTCAGTTGTACTTAGGTTCGTCAATTCGGTTTGTTTGGATGGGGATGGTTCGGTGCAAATATTTGTAAAATCTCTCACAATTCATATTAATTGAATGGTTCAGAAAAATCAAATGGTTAATTTTCGATTCATTCAATTTTTGGAACGGTTTAAAATTGTTGTCCCATTCTCAGCGTTTTGAAACCAAAGAACAAAAAAAGAAAAAAAAATCACATAAAACAAAAATCTAATTAACCAAACCATTCTTCGCTGACAACTAATGAACAAAAAAACCTTTATTACCCTGAAGTATATTGTGTCAAAAAAAAAAAATACTTGGAGTTTTTGGAATTCATTCTCAACAACACACAATATAAAAGCATCAATTACAAAGAATTTGATGCTCTCCAAATGTATTTTAGTAATCAAAGCGAGCGAACCCAGAACCGTACGGAGAGAAAAAGAACTGGGCTATCTTAACGCTTTGACGAATACAAATCCTTGAATATACGCCCCCAGAACAAAGCCATCAAGCAAATTGATCCTTGAAGCTGAAAGAAGAGGCAATACGATTTTTATTTAATGCTCTCTTGCAAAAAAAATAGAAACAAGAAGAACAAAATTATATGCTTGTAGTGTGCATAATGCAAAGAATAAAGGATGAGATTTATAGGTGGCAGATGAGAACTCTAGGGTTTCGCCCATGGATGGACTTTCAAGAGCCAAAGGCCCAACAACTTAGGACTGGTTGTTTAGAAAGCCCAATATACAGGTGGGTGTATTAAATTGAGACTTCAAGCAATGAAACTTTATAAAGTTTTTAAATTTTGAAGGAATTATGTGAAATTTTAAATCTGGATGTGGGATTTGATGAGATTTTGTATAAGATTCTTCCTTTATAAATCCCGCCAAATCTTAAAAATTATTAATAAATCCTAATTCTAATAAGTTAAATATGTCATGAATTTGTAAGACTTTAAAACTTCAAATGAATACCTCAAGAATTTTAAAAATCTTATTAAAGTAACAAATCTCAATTGAATACATCAAAATTTCTAAAATTTTAAAAAGTCTTAAAAATCTCAATTGAATACACCCTTCTACGAGTGTGTAATCAATTGAGATTTCATCTTCAACGAACAAGGTATATTTTACTCTAAACCAAATATTTTCTTATAATCCTCATCATTTATTATTTTAGTAGCAAAATATAATTACATTAGATATATCATATATGATTTTACACATTTAACTATTTAAAAAATCATTATATAATTAATAAAATTATAAATAAATACAAAAATATTTTTATAAATATTATTTTATTCACTAAAACACACATCAAGTATTTATTAGTATATTAGTTAAGATTCAAGAAAAAAATTAATTTATAATATATGTAGTAGTAAAAATATTTTATTACAAATAAATATCACATATTGATATATTACATATTTTGCTCTATTATAAATAAATTTCTTATTAAAAATTTTATTATGTCGATTATATAGTAGTTTTATATGGTTTCTATTAATTTTAGTGAAACATATTATTCCTATAATATTTATTTTATTTTATAATAAATTAAAACATTTTAAAAAATTATACTGAAATATATAAAAATATAAAACCCAAACAAAATACAGGGATAAAAAAAGTCCTGCATGTATATTGATGCTCGTATATATCGCCCAGAAGTGAAAACATATTAAAAAAAAAAAATGATCAGGCACTGTTCATATCTTCTATCTGTGCAATAATGTAAAGATCTGGAGAGAAGCTCAAACAATCATCATTAATAAGGTCCATTGTAGACGACTCTGGTTCTTTAAAATGATCTCCGTGTTCAAGGATAGACCACTTTCTCTCCGGTCTTGGGTTGAGTCAGAGACGAGATGGAATACCTGCAAAAGAACGCTGGAGTTCTTCCAGCCCAAGACCCTCTGATGCATAAGTTAGAACTCGGTGGTGGAAGATAAACCCGCAATAAATGTAAATTATTATCTCTTAAATATCATCTTACCTCCCGTAATTAAATGTCATCTTACCTCCCTCTTACGAATATTTTAGGATTGCATGGTAATTAAGGGTCGATCATTGTGCAAATACTCATGATCTGAATCCACGAACAAATATAATCGATGTCCTTGTATAGTGTCGATGTCAAGGTGCCTTAAAACTGGGATCCGTATGTGCGTGATCGATCTTGTCCGGTATGCGCGTGATCGGTCCTAGTCGGTATATACATGATCTGTCTTGGTCGGTATATGTATGATTGGTCTTGGTCGGTTTGGTCTGCCTGGATCGGTCTGTCTTGGCTGATTCGGTCTACGGGTGTTTATCAACTACTCTTCCTTATTTATGAGTGCACGTATGATTTTCCGTGAAGTCATAAATATTATTGATTTAGCCGTCAGCCAACTTTGTACGACAAAGAATATTTACTTTCCCTAATAAATGCGAGGGACCCAACAGTCTACTTCAAACAAATTGCTTTTTTAATCTCGACGGTGAGTCGAGCACTCCTCAAGATGACTCCATTTCTCCTGCTCCAAAAAGAGTTGACTGTTAATGAAATCTACTTGTTTTATTGTGATAAATTTTTGTTCATACAATATTATTGTATTAAAAAAATTATAAAATAATATTACAATAAATAGATAAAATAAAAAGCACAAAATTATGTAACATATTAAATACATTTACAGAGTTGCGTGATAATTTTGTGCCGCGTTGGATCGAGATCATTTTGGCAAATCTCTAGCCAGCAGCCAGAAAACACGCTATGCTTCTGTTCTCCCACCGGCCCATACCAAGTTCGTTGACAATTTTTACGAACATTAATAACGTGACAACCTTGTTAACAGAACATTCTACAAGAATAACTAACTAGCAAACAAAAGCCATACACTATGAAATGGCATGCATAGGTTCAATAAGCATCATCACATAATTCATTTTCATTACCCAAAGAGTTAATTCAACTAGCGTCCTGAACTGATACCAACATATAAATACATTACACACCCAAAAGATGAAAAGTTCCATATTTTCCACTTTTGTTTCAGGTGATACAAACAAACGAAGATTTTCCCAATATCCTATGGATCACCACAGGCAGAATCTTTCACGAAATAGTCTATGATAATATAAGACATGCACTTAGGCACACAAAACAAAGGTTAAATACGGGTTGGATCCAACGTTAACCCGGCCAACAAAAGACAAACAGAAATAGCTGCAAATTACATACAAGCAAATACTCTTTTTCCTTTTTTCAGTGCCCGAATAACTTTTTTCGTTTCAGGCCGCAATAGACTTAACAGTTTCTCCATCCTTCTCTCAGGCTTCTACCCCTCCTGTACTCAATTTCAGCATCGGAGTTTGACGAACCAAAATGGCTTTTGCGATTTGGTGCTCCCATCTTAGAGAATATGTCCTCATCATCATCACTCGGAGATTGGGAATTCGGTAACGTTCGTCTGGAAACATCTCCATTCTGTTTCTGTGGAGCTTGATCTGAGAAGTGAATAAAAATAACAAGTTATAGTTTACTGGAGCTGGGAAATGGGGCAGATAAAAAGAAGTCATCACACATCACACCTTTTCTTTCTCCTTATTTTCCTAGCTAGAAGATTCAATCAAGAATATAACCCAGGGTGGAGTGGGGAAGGGGGGAAAATCGACTAGTGGGAAAAATTGTATTCTCACAGCCAAAATTGTCCACTTAGTGTGTATGACATAGTTACCATTATCAAACTTTGAGATTTAGCTTAATTAGAAAAAGAGCAAAGGTAAAAATATTTTTATATAGAAAACAAAAGGAACCTTTCAATTATACAAACTACCCCCATTTCCATTTTCATTTACAACTTACATCCTGCTGAAAGATTAATTGTCACTATTTTAATCCTCTGTGCGTATCCCTAATTTCAAACAAAAACGAGTCAGGATAATTTTTAGAATTATTTCAAATCTGAGGAAAGATAGATGACATTTACTAGAAAACCTAACAGATCATTAATTAATGCAATACAATGATAAGTTGCTAATATGATGCAAAGTTACCACTACGATGCAATATGATGCTTAGTTAATAACCACCACAAGAAACGATCAAAAAAATAACCACCACAAGAAGACTTCAAAATCTTTTCCAACTAAGTAGAGAAAACACATAACCGAGATAACGATAACACACCTTCAACAACTTTATCCCCACCATGAGCACCACCGAAACCGAGCCCCGGACTAAGCGAAACATCATCTTGCCCTTTCCCTTTCCCTTGTCCAGTCAACACACGCTCGTCACCCCCAACAGACTTGTTCGTGTTAAGCGTAAAATTATCCTCCAACACATCATCAGATATCTCAACATACTGAGCCGTCGTGATGATCTCGTCGGCACTGAACCCAAAAGAAGCCCTGTAAGCCTCCAACTCCTCCGCATCGGGTTTCATAACCCTGACGGACCTATTCCCATTGGAGTAAGCCTCCGTCTCCCGAGAAATACTCAACCGACCACCAGCCGAAGACTGGTCCACGTAGAACTGCGCGAACGTCTCCGGGCAGAAGAAGTTGGAGTACGTGGCCTGAAGGTCGTTGGCCGGTGGTAAATTATGGCTTGTTGCCGGACCAGACTTGGACAGGAAATGAGCGTACGGAACTTCCGGCGAGGAAGGGGTGGTGGTGAGATAGTGAGCGAGTTCTGGCGGAGGGGTGACGGGGGCAGTGGAGGGCTCGGTTGTGTAGGTGGAGAAGACGGGAGGGGAGACNCCTCTTGCCGCCTTTGGGTTTGCGGAAACACGGGAGCCCACCGAAACAGCTCCGCCACCGCTTGCACTGCAAGATGAGATTCACACGGTTAGTTAGGTATGGTTAAAATCTCGAGGTTGTGTAAGAGATCTCTGGAGTTATAGAGATGTTTTTAACGTTTTATCACAAGGTAGTTGATTATACGCATGAAATACGGGTTTTTTTTTTATCTTTTTTCTTCTTCATGTTTGTATTTTTTTTATTTTTTTTTAATTTGTGTATAGAAATTCGAAATGGAAGATTAGCATTATGCGTATGGGAATCATTTGATGCGTCTGTGTGAGTTCTACTTCGAATATCGTTTACCCTTCAGAGTTCGAACGGTTTATATCTTTACAAGTTGTGGTGAAGTTTTATAATGTCCATGCTTTATGAGTCAACAATAGTAGAATAAGAAGAGTCCCTCGATAAGATGGAGTAGAAGTCGAGATCTTCAAGAAGGTAAATGGAATTCAATTAAATATTGGCAGAAGCTATAATATAAATCATTTGATCTCCGTCGTGTTCAAGCCTAATTAAACATGAAGTTCCCTAAATATTCAATGTTCTGTTGATGTAGCATTCTTTCCTATAGTAAAAGAAAAACATAAGTAATAACCAATCAACTCTCAGTGAAATCCAAGTCCATTACAAAATTACTATGAGAGTTGAAATGGTTGTTCAAGACATACAATTTGACGAACGTGGCAAAAAGCTATTTATCAAGCTTTGAACTTATCAATGTTCACTCCTAATCGATAAAGGAAAACAACTTCATTGGTACCACTGTTTTCATTACATAAGCTCTTCAGAATGATAAACTTTTCAACAAAATTGTATTACTGTTTAACTTCCCACATAATTACGTCTTTCTTTGCCGGCGATTCTCCAATTTCTCGTAACCTCAGACAGTACAAACACTGCTATTTTGCTCCAATTCACATAAAAACCTTTGGCTTCAAACTGACCTCGCAGTGTAATTAAAATCTCACTGAGTGAGATCACATCAACTCTAGTTAACCTGATTAAACTTTCTAGGTTGATACATTAAACATCATTAAGATACTCTGTTGTTTCGCACATTAAAATTACAAGTCTCTTATGGTATATTAATATGCATTACGCATGCATATAAATGAGAACAACTTCTTACAGCAGCCAGCTTCTATACTCTGACTCACATTCCAATTATGATCCAGTTATTAATACTATTTCAAGCTTAACTACAAGGTATCTAGCTATCAATAATTCAACAATACGACTCCATATTATGCCAATGTTCATGAATACATAAATAAGTTATACAGAAAGGATGGACTTACCATAATTAAGTAGTTTTTTTTTAATGTATGCTTTGATTTTTAGAAGCGCATACCCGAGGAGCTGCTGCTTGCTGTGGCTGCATAAATCTATTCTGGTCTGACGCCATATACAAGATGGTTTTGCAGCACCACCACTTAAAAGTTGTACCTTTTATTAGCGAATAATTATCCACCAACTCACAATCCAAAATAGGATAATTTACAACTCTGACGTTTTCCTGTGTGTGCATTCGAATAATTCAGTATTAAGAACGAGATTCATATTCAAGCAAGCAACCAAAGTCATATTGAAGCAACTGTCGCCTGATAAGCATCGAGAATCCAGAATTCATACACATGACACATCGGCATAGCTACCAGTCTATTTAATGAAAGCTTACTATTTTCTACAGAATGCAGATAATCAAAATATCTGGTAGAATTGGCCTTAAATGTAACTCACATCATCCGATTCGGATCCATGGCAATTAAATGTTAGAGGAGCATAAATCAAGTCCAATCAAAGGTTAATTTAATTTCCTGAAAAATCATCGGCATGATTTCGAAATGGGTGAGGAAAAGTAAATTAAAAAGATGCAATTTTTTTCTTTTAATTTATGCAACACATAATTCCCACTCCAAAAATTACAGATACTTCCAACCGCAGCCCATCAAGACTTTGGAATTTTCATGGCTGTTTCTGTCACTTGTGATACACAGTATTTTATTCCATTCTTGGACCGAAATACAAGCATAATTTGCATCTTATACATGAAAGTGACCCCACTATAAGAAAATTTAGTTCTTACTGACGCCACAAAACGCAAATAACTAAACAATTTTAAGGAGAACAACATAAAACAAACAAACAAACAAAAGTTCACCAGCCTCCAACAAATTCTTTCACTATCCAGATAAAAGAACTATGAGCAAGCAAGCAAATGTAAAAAAAGACCAATACACGCACATAAACAAAAAATCGGCGTCATAAGCTTATATTCCATGCCTCAACTGAAGCTTATTCATAAAAGAAAAAACCAAAAAGGAGGCCTATAGCAACAAAACAATGTAAAATTTCGGTACCTGAACAGTGGACTATCTACATTTCCATAACGGATCTGGACAGGAGAGTTGATTATTAGCTAATGTAGGAAAAAGGATGTGCGAGTGTGTGTAGAATGTGTGCGTTTTTTACGCGGATGAAAAGGAAAGTGAAAGCAAAATGCCAGATCTAATCTCTCTACTCCCTAATCTGTTCTGTGGCCTTTTCTTGGTTGATGATTGTAGTGTTTGCTAAAATTTGCTTTTTCTTTTTATCCTTTTTTTCTTTTCCTTTTGGTAAAAAATTCATTAAAAAATTAAGAGCAAAGTAAAAATTCAATGCTATGTTTGGTTGACTTCATACAAATGGCTGATTAGTGGGTTAATTGCTGGTTGAAAGTGCTAAAAGAAATGATTGTCGGCTCGTTGTTGATTTTAAACGATAGTGATAAATTTGAATTATAAATTGGTTGATTAAAGAGTAATTATTCATATAGATATAATTGAAATGTACAAACTAATGTGAACATTGATGTGGTTCGATCTAAAACCACTATTCTAAAAATCGGCCTAGGCGGCGTCTAGGCGCTAGGCGGTGCCCGGCCGCCTTCGATTTGCACAAATCGGCCAACAAAATCGGCCTCTAAAAATCGGCCTAGGCGAAAAAAAAAAAAAATTGNTTACATTGAAATAACTGAACCGCACCGAAATGCACGTCTCATCTTAGTTTGGTATTTTTATTTTATCACGATTTTTCTATTTATTCAATTTTATGCGGTTCAATGTAAAACCGAACAAAACCAAAAACCAAAATTATATAAAACTATATCGCACTGCACCACAATGTAGAAAAAATCGAATCGAAACCATACTGAAATTTTTTACATTAAAAAATCGAAGCGAACCGCACCAAATTGCACGGTTCGGCTCGGTTTATCGGTTTCAGCTCGATTTTACTCACCTTTATTTGATAGTATAAGTATGCATTTTTTTTATGGAGTATGATGAATCATCCCATTTAATGGTTAGAATGTCTCACCCAAAAATTTATTTATTGAAAATCTTTATCAAACAAAATATCTAATCAAAATAAATAAGCTATGGCTGCGTTTGTTTAATGGAGTTTTGGCTTTAAAACAACTTTTTCAGCTGTTTAGTTGTTTGACCATACACAATCAACTAAAAACAACGTTTGGTACAGAGCGGTTGTAACCAGCGTTTGTAGTCCAATCCGCCAATTGAAAACGCTGCTTTTTGCAGCGTTTTGGCTTAGCGGGTCAAGATAAAAAAAAATAAAAAAATTAAAACTCTTAATTGCCCACATTTATCATTAACAATATCAAATACATGAACAACTCTCTATATATCTCACAATTTCAAGAAGAAAAAATATTAATCAAAATCGGGATACTTTTTTATTCAAACCCATATAAATAATATTTAATTTATTGATATAATATAAGAGATATATTTTAACTATATAATTTTCATTTCAACTAATATTTAGTATAACTTAACAACTAATTTTACCAACTATTTTTCTAAAATTTTAAACATATATAGGCAACTACTTAGATACTCTATCATATATCTTAATCATCACATAATCTCCTAAAACAATATCCCAAAGTTTGTAGAAACATTCAAACAATTTGAGAAATCTAGTAAAAAAAAAGTTTCAAAGTTGCATAAACATCCAACAATTTGAAAAATCGAGTGAAAAAAAATTTAGGAACACCCAAACAATGAGAGAAATCTAATAAAGTAAAAGGAGAAAAAGAAAATCGAAATAAATGATGTATTTACTTAGATGACCATGAGATTTTTTAGAAATTGTTACTGTAAATTTTAGTCACTTTGAATTTTTTTTATCAATTGTAATGATATATATTGAAATTGAGTCATATTTAAATTTTTTAAATAGTGATGACTTGTTATTAGTTTTGTTTATATAATATGATCTTATTTAATTAATTAAAAAATATTTTCATTGAATTATTATTTATATTTTTCTATATTTTAAATCAATTTAATAAATATTTGAAATATTAATTATTTTTATTTCTTAAATAACTATAAGTTCAACATAATAAGAATGATCAATTATGATGATGTCCTTAGTAGTAATTTTACATGTTAACAACTAATTTTACCAAACATTTTTTTACAAACTGCTAACACAATCATTTGGTCAAAACAACTAAGTTAATTCGTTGGTCAAAACAGCTAATGCAATCAGCTAACAGCTAACAACTAACAACTATTAGCTAACCGTTGATTACCAAACAAGGCCATATGTTTCTCTATCCCTCCTAAAAAAGAGGTTTCTACATGGAAGTAATAACGAATGACTTTAAAATTACAAAATAAAAATTAGTATACAATTTGACTTATTTTAAAATTTTAGAAAATATAATAACTTGCCATTGGTTTAGAATAATATATATATATATATATATATATATATATATATATANACTTGTGCTTCTGTTGTACTAGTATCACTCCTATATCTATATTTATGTATACATGCTAAGATTTTCGAGTCTACATATCAATATTAGTAATTTACAACGATATGTGATAATTCTAGTGTTTGTTCATATAGATTTAGAGTTTTATCATATAGGTTGGGATTTTGAAAATTATGAAATCCTTATAAATTCTTTTTAAAACTTAGTAATTTTTTATTTTTTGTAAATGAT